ACTAGGTGAAGTTGGATCAGATTGGAAGAAGCCGCCGGGGTGGTCAGAACTAGATGTGGCACCTGTCAGTGAAGTCACTGACGGCTGGTCTGATTTGTGTGGGGGAGATGTAGTCTGCCTGGCTGGGGTCGTTGAGACGAAAGGAGTCAGTGGTTAAGGACTCTTCGTGACATAGCTGAAGATGTGTCACAGTGGAGCAGGTCTATTTACTACTTGACATCTGAAGCTTGAATATTTTCACTCATCATCATCATCAATATCAACATAGGATCAGGCATTACTGCGTAACGGTCCGAGTTGCCACACCTCATATCAGCACATCAAGTAAAAAGGTAGTGAGGTGAAGGATGAAGATAAGTGAATGCAGTCAAAAGAAATATAAAGTACGAGAAGAAAGGAAAGAGGAGTGACAAAATGGTGAGATTCGGTATAGCGTTGTTAAGATGAGGATAATGTGTGTATACATCTGCGCCACTGACTTCGGTTCTGAGCCATATCACCTAGGGTCTCCAACCACTGGTTCCTCTTGTCCCACCGACCCCAACCACCTAGTCTGCATCGCCCCACCACATGGCTTAAACCAACAGTCAGAGACTTCATACATTGGTGCCATGTTTTAGTCTGGCCACCTCGGGCCTTTTTCCAGCCTGGACCCACCTCAGCCAACATTGTGTGACGAGGCAATCGGTGACTAGGCATACGTAGTACGTGTCCCAACCATCTCAGTCGATGAAGGTTCACAACCTCGTCGACTGACTTACCTCTTCTCCCCAAAACTCTACACCTGACTTCTGCATTACTCACATGGTGACACCACGGAATACGTCCTATATTACGAAGGCAACGGTGATCAAACACCTGAAGCCTTCTCATATCTTCCACTTTCAATGGCCATGTTTCACAGCCACACAGTAGAACAGAGCGACTGCTGTGCAGTACACGCGACCCTTAATAGACAATCGGATATCACGGTGGCGCCATAGGTGGCGCAAATTGGCAAAAGCCAATCGAGCCTTTTGTATCCGTGCAGAAATCTCATCGGCAACTAACCCACCGGGGTTGACCCTACTTCCCAGGTAAGTGAAGTGGTCAACACACTCAACCACTTCACTCTCTATTGTTAACCGCGGTACCGCTGAAGACCAGTCCTGGAGCAAAAATTTGCATTTGGGTGGTGAAAATCGCATCCCAAACATTCTCAAATTCCCACTCAAAGTGTTCAGAAGACTCTGCATCTTGTCAGCGTCTTCACCTAACAGGACTATGTCATCTGCATATTCTAGATGTAAAGAAAATTCACCTGTGATCGGGTCAACGTCTGTGTAATCAGGTGACGAGAGGGAAACCTCCATAAGAATATCTATGATAAAATTAAATAAGAATGGGGATAGTGGGCATCCTTGACGGACACCACTTGATGAGTATAGCTCCCTGGACAACTCACCATAGGCTCTAACATGCCCACAAGTGTTCGAGTAGAGAGCTTTCAATAACGTGATCGTATTTGATTCCCATATACTGGCTAACACTTCCGTTAGCCTGACTAAGAGAACTCTACCACCATTCTTGTATACCTCAGCAGGTAGTCCGTCTGGTCCTGCTGCCCTTCCCCGTTTCAGGCTACCTACCGCTTTCTCAACTTCTTCTAGTGTTGGGGGACCTGTCTCTATGTCCCATTCAGGGTCCGACTGGATAGCGGGCAGCGCAATGGTGGCTGGAGGCCAGTTAAACTGTTCCTCAAAGTGTTCTGCCCATCGTCCCAGTCGCCTTCCCTGCGAGTGAATCGCCGATCCGTCCTTCTCCGCTATAACCTCACTAACTGTTGTTGACCATTTCCCCCCAGTCTCCTTAATAAGTCTAAATAACTGTCTACTGTTACCGATCGCCGCTGCCTTTTCCATCTCTTTAGCCTTTGCTGCCCACCACTGTTCACGATCGTTGCGCAGACTTTTCGTCAGTTTATTTTTAAGTTGCGCTCGCTCTTCATTGTACTCAGAGCCTGCAGGGATGCATTCACGTGCATCCATTAGTTTGGAAGAAGCTGCTGATATCCACTGGCTCTTTTTAGCCATTATCTTGGAGTCGGCTACAGTCTCCAGTGCTGCTTTTACAGTAGACTGAAGATGGCACCAAGCTTCTTCTGGATGAGTGACAGTCTTTTGTTCCGATAACTGCCTAGCCAACTTCTCACTGAACACGGCTTTGGTGTTTTCGTTGTCCAGCAGAACTCGTAGTGGTTTTGTTGCCAAATTTTTTCTACGTCCATTGAGACGCAGGCATATACGTGCTCGGACCAACGCATGATCGCTGTCCAAACACGTACTCCAGAAGGAGCGGCAGTCTTCCACCGATCCTCTCCAGCGATGACTAATAGCAATGTGGTCTATCTGTGTCCATCGCTGAGTCGAGCTCGGTGGACGCCAGGTCAGACAGTGCCTTTCTTTATGTCTGAAATTTGTGCTGGCTAAAAATAGGCGGTTATCTGAGCATAGTTGTAATAGGCGATCACCGTTATCTGTACGTTCAGCTGGGATTCCGAAAGTGCCACCTAAGTGCCTTTCTGCCTCACTCAGTCTACCCACCTGTGCGTTGAGGTCACCTGCAACAACCACTACGTCCGAACGTTTGGCTTTCGAGAGGAGGTTAGACAGTTTATGGTAGAACTCGTCCTTCACTTCATCCGAACTACAGTCAGTGGGTGCGTAAGCAGAGATTACAAAGAGACAACGGCGAGTCTCACTATTCCTTTTAGTTCTCACTGTGCCGTTCAGCCTCATAGCGCAGAGGCGACTATCAACTGGGATCCAGTCTAGTAGTGAGTTTTCTGCCCTGGTGCTTAATGCTATACCTACACCTGCAAGACCACGAGAGCTAGCTATCGAATCTCCAGAAACTCGAAGGGTGAATTTTGCAGATTCACCAGATTGGTCAGGAGAGGTCAGGTGAATAACCACACTTGGGTCCTGTATGCGTGTCTCACAAACACAGCACACATCCATGCCCGAGTTGCTAGAGTCTTTGCCAACGAAGCCTGTTGGCCAATTTGACGGAGGGTGCGGACATTGAAGGCTCCAATATGTAATTTGGAGCGTGGTTTAAGGAGACCAGGGATGCTGTTCTGTGGACTCAGATCGTTGTCGAAGGCTGCAGAGGTAGGAGAAATTGAAGATGATGCAGCATCATTAATTAAGAGACGTGAAGGAAGATTAGAAGGTAATGATGGAGGAGGAGGATAGCAGTCAGAAGAAACTTGGGTGCTGACAGAGTTGTGAGGGCGGTTGACACTTCCCGGCTGCCCACACCGTGGAAGGCTATTTCTTCTTAAGGTACCTGAAAGAGATTTGTGTGACCGCAGAGCCCATCGGACATCTGCTTGAGGCCTGTCACACCCAGCCTTTTGAGTATGATTATTTTGAATTTTTGTATTTTTGGGGCCGGATGATCGAAAGGAAACGACAAGTGAACCAACACCGCCGGCCCGGCAGACCGTGGGGCGTGGTGGAGTGTGTTATTTTTGGGGCCGACCTTTTCTAACCCCCCCTTCCACTGAGAAGGCAGCATCAGCTTGGCACTGCTGGTCATCCAAGGGAAACACCTTACTGCTGTCACACCCCATCCAGCTAGCAGCAGTACGACTTCGCCCTCAGACCCCCATCATAGTGTAGCAATTTACACTATAACGGTAACTGCTTTTCGTCTAACCACTACCCAACAGACCTTTCTGGTATGGTAGGACCTCGAGGGAACAAGCGTTCCACCAGCATAGCTCGTTGGGTCATTGTGATATGCAAGCCCGACCACCACGTCAAGGTAGCAGCTATCGGTCGGGGAATATTTTCGGTTAGTGAATATTTCCACTAACCGATATCTTCAGTTGGTTTATTTTCTCACTATTTTATCTACTCTGATACCACTTTTTTCCTATCCACCTGTTCTTTATGAATTACCGCCAACTATGGGAACTATAGGTGATACACTCCTGTGCATGTCTGTGCGTTGATTTTGTGAGTTAATCAGTTCGAACGTATAGTCATTCACATTTTTCGGAAGAGTTATGGTATCAGTATAGGTCAGTAGCATGACATTTTATTTATACTTACTGGAATTCAAATCTCATTCTGTGATGGTATTTTCAGTAGTTTTCGAAATTTACCTTCAACAGACTATTTGCTTTCGATAGTTTTATTCCAATTAATATATCTATGATAATAAACGCAAACAGTTATCGTTCTTCATCTCCTGCCAGTCAGTTAATATCAACATGCCATGTGACCGTACTGTGTTAATGGTTAAGGTTGCTGCACATTCCGTCAGTACATGAGAGTATACGGCACGAAGATGAAAGATACGGAAGTAAGGAAGAAAATATTCAATTGTGGTAGAGTGGTGAAAGGAGAAGTGCGAGTTTTTACGTCGAACTTTTCAGTCAGTAGTTTATGGAGAATGCTTCCAATCATAGTTTTAAATGAATTGAAAAATAAATTTAGACAAATGTGGCTAGTCCGTAGAAAGAGAGGAGAGTAGAACGAAATGAGTACCGTATTTGTCCATTACTCTTGAATTCTAGTTACAGATGACCTGAATGCACAAGTAGGTTAATGACACCACCACTTTCCCTCATAACAGTTTGCAGGAAGAAATCTCGCTAACCTGGTGTTTGAAGTAGAAGTCTACAAAGGAACTAGTTGACGCCAAAACATTTGATAGCGAAACTTTAAACTGCGTGGAGCGAAAACAAACTAATATATTGAGGGAATTCTCTAAACAAGAAGCCTAAAAACTGCTGAAGTTCAAGCAACCCATACCTTAACGATACGAATCAAGAGTCCTAACTCACTTCGGCTCATCACAGGAAAATAAGTGTTCTAACGGCTGGTTTGCGAATACCATGCGGCATACCAGAGCTGCTATATAATACTCAACAGGTGATAAGTATATTAAAGGTAATCTAGTAATCATTCGTAAATTAAAGGACCACGTAAGGAATTAGGTAACTATACCTTAAGTGTTTGCTTAACATCCATAATGTGAAATGAGTCCACGTAAATGCCATCTATTCTAACAACAGCAAGCGCATCTTCGTACTTGAAACCTTTCAGGAAAGCATTCACAAAATCAAATCCTTTTTGAAGGTGCTGAGGATCTCGAGTTTCTGCTGATGGCTTTATAAATACCTTCCACGTTTTCCTGTCCGTCTTCATGCACACCATCAACTTCAGCTGCTTTGTTAAGACCTTAAAGTCATTATTATGACACGGTTAAAAACTGTAATATACTCTACTTCAACTATCGAAGGCCATAAGCTACGCACTGCTGTTCTGCGATTTTTGGGGACAATCGAGGTCCGAATTTCCGCCACTTTGGTGTCTGAAGATGTCATGTTGTACAAATATGGTCCAACGTGACAACCTAGACGGCAACGCGCGCTTTGATTCCAATGTCCACTATTGATAGTGCGAGCGTCGAAAACTGTTAGTTTTCGATCTCTCGCGTCTAGTTCTCAGGGCATAGTCCGAGTTGTTCAGCTCACTCCTCCAGTGGACGAGGAATTCCCCTGTGCTGTCTTGTTTTTACCTCGGTGAGGTGGATGTTTTGTGGGTTAGTAAGTTGTAGTTTGTAGAGTGATTGGGGAGCTACGGGTTGCTGGGGCGTTTAGGGGACTGTTGTGACCCCTGTCTGTGCAGGTGCCCGAAAGAGTGTAGTAAGGTAGTGGTAAAATAATGAAGAAGAAAATAAGGGAGGAGAAAAAGGAAAAGAAAGAAAGAGAAAAGGGGGATGAGGAAGAGAAATAAAAGAGAGAGAAGAGTATGTGGGAATTTCCCGAATGGTAGCATGGGTTTAGTGGCTACAGAAGAATCAGTAGGTGATGTGGGTGTATTAAGCAGCGAGATAGTGAGTGGTAGGTAGGGAGGAGGTGGGGTTGGGCTAGTGAGGTTGGTGACTACCTGAGTAGGTCCATGGTAGACCATATGAGGTGAAATAACTGTCTAACCGTCTCTTGAATGAACCGACTGAGGGAGCTATAACGATATGTCGTGGTAAGGCACTCCATAAAGCACATACTCTCAGGGAGAAAAAATTGGACCTGAGTATGGTGTTGGCTCTCTGGTGTACTATCTTAAATGGGGTTTCCCCATGAAGACCGCTTAGTTGCAGGCTAAAGCGATTTGTTTGCGTGGTCTGGGCGTTCTTGCATGCCATAATAAGGTCACCCTTTTCCTGCGATAACCCAAGGTAAATAGGTTTAGGTGTTTCAGTCTTTCAGGATACGCCTCTACCCGTAGCACCACAACTGATTTTGTTGCGGTTCTTTGTATTTTTTCAGGAGATTAGGATCTTTCTTGAGTGTTAGGAGGCACGTACTAAAAACCTCCAGATGCAGCCGCATGTGACCCGACCTCCAACATCCAGCATCAATAGTGCGAGTAGAAGAAACTCGTTTTTACTGAGCTCTCGCTTATAGGACTTGATACTCGGTTCTTTTTGTTCGGTTGTACTCTTTCGGTGGCTGCTTATAACCTCGGAGGTATCCACTATTCAATATCTTTTTACTAGCCGGTGTAAACTATTTGATTTCTTTGCGCTCGCTCCTAGGTCTTGCGGAACGTTTCCAGGTCTTTGGTGGATTCCGATGCAGTAGGTCTACCCACTCGGCTGCTAAAGCTCCGGTTAGCCTAACGGGCGGTTGGGTGTTGGTTAGATTTGTAGGGAGTGTTGTTTTTTATTTGTTTTTCTTCCAAGGACTGCGGAGTAGATGGGTTCCTTCATAAACTTTTCATCATTATCTCGAGCAAAAAGTACTGACTGTTACAACGTAAGTGTTAGCTTCAAGCTTTATTTTTCTCCAGGTAATACATGTAATGTCTAGATGCAAACATGGTTTTTTTGTTAATGAGAAGACAATACTTCCACTTGTCCAACCTGTAAATTTTCTGCATGCTTATTCTGCTGGGATGTTCCATTATATGGACATGTAGCACTTATATCTTCCAGTGACAACGGGTGGGATTGAGATTATCTTTCGTGAAGATACATGTAATTTATATATGAACTTATTCACACCTGTAAAAATGGTGTGTGCCTGTATATTCAGGAATAAATATTCTTATTATTGTGTTGTACCAGCAGACGAATAGTCAGACTGGTTGCAAAAAGGAGATGGAAAAAGGAAAGAAAAAGACGGTTAAGAAAAAAGGAAACGTAGTCAATAGGAAGAGGAGTAAGTAACATCATAGGATGGGTGGGAATAGAGATAGTAGTTCTGTGAGTAGGAACGGTAACTGGAGAGGATGTCTACAGGGAAGCATAAGTTTGAGCCAGCTTTCGAGTAATAGTGGTACTACAAAGCATTCGACAATGGGTTGGCCGTGGTGAGTTAGTAGGCCGTGTCAGCTTAGTCTGCATCCCAGCTGAATGCGTCCAGTGATGAAGCTGTGGCTACTTCCTTCGACAGACCGTCCCACAAGGCACATACTCTGTGGGAGAAGAAGTTAGGTCTCAATCTCGTCTTTGCCCTACGCTTAGGTATGCGAGTGGGGTTCCCATCGTGGCTGTCGGTTTTCAGCCGATAACGTTGACCTATTTTCGTGCTCCGCTTGGTGAATAATCTTGTAGGCTGTTATCAGGTCACCTCATTTCATTCGATAACTTAATGGGAACAAGTTGAGTTGTCCGAGGCGTTGCTCATATGTTTCGCTTGTCAGTCCGACAACCGACATTGTCCCTCTTCTCGAGGGCATTTGCGTCTATCTTTAGTAGTGTGGGGGTGTATCGTGTTGAACACCTCTAGGTGTGGCCTAACATAGGTCTTAAATACCATGCGGAATAATTCTGGGGTTAAGGATCCAAGCTGCCTTCTTAGAAAATGCATGATGGCGTTCGCCTTCTCTGCCATTCCCTCATAATTGTCAGTAGTATCCAGTGTGTCACAAAAGTTTAGTCCTAGGTCCTTTTCTGTGGATACCTTGATGATTGCACGTTGTCAAGAGTGTAGCTGGTTTCCCTCGCCTCGAGTATGAGAACACTCTTTTCGATAGCGCTTCAGATAATATCTTTAATATGTATCCAGTGTTTGTCCATCGATAGTGAGTGCCATTCTTGTGGCCACGCATCCCCCAGGAGTTCATTGCTCGTCAGATGGTAGTCTGCTTTTCGGTAACAGCGGAACGCCCCTGGCTCTATTATTAGCAGTTCGCCCTGGTTATCAGAGAGAATCTCACCAGGGCGTGGTCGCTTTTGCCTAGGGGGGAGGTTGGACACAGATTTCATCCACCAAAAGATCATCTTTTGCTTGAACGTAGTCAAGTGGTGATCCCTTTCCATCTGGTGTTTTACCCGACTTTCTCTATCAATCCTGCTGCGATAAACGTGTTTTGGAGTTTATGTTCGAAAGACTTATGCCCAAATCTTACTTCACATCCTACGTTGAGTGCCATAGTGGTAATAATTCAGTGATTCTCTCCGTTTCAGCCATCGGTTTTCTTTCTTTTGGATAACCTGTGTCTCAATGAGTTGGTTTGACCTGATAGATCTCTCAACTATCGTTTCCCGATGCCAAAGAACAGTTACAGACACGTTATTTTTCCGATGAATTATATGTAACCGGCTGTTTTTTGTTGCTCTGGTAAACAGAGTAAGCTTTGATTGCTGTTTGTTCCATAGGAAGTGCATTATTTGCTTCACTACCGAGGCATTGCGGAAAAATCCATTGTCATTCCCCAATTCTAAATAAATAAATAAATGTTTTATTCTCGTGTTAAAAAAAAGGATTTTAACATGATTTCACCATGGTAAACCGGCAGCTTTTTGTCTACTATGCCTAGGCCTATAGTCTTAGTGTTTTCGGTTTTTCTTATTTGGCGAGCACAGAAGTCCTTCCTGTTTTCTTGTGCCGGTCGTTTTCGGATACGGCCGTTTGTCATTACTTCTGCCTTTGGTTTGTGTGATGTATGTTTGCAGAAACTACGTATCTGTTTGGTCGACTTGTTGTCTTTGTGCTACTCCTGGCTATGACAGCCTACAGCTAGACAGTTCAGTGTGTCAGGCAGAAATTAAGCAAAGGATCATGTGTGACAGTAACGGGAGAGAAAGGAGATCCAGATTTAGCGATGTTGGGCCTCGGAAGAAGGTCAAGACATTGAAAAAGGTCAGATAGTAGCGTGTAAATGCCATGGTGGGTCGATGAGATCAGAGTCTTCCTACATGGGTTAAAGTATATCGTGTGTACAAGTGCGGAAATATTTGATAGACTCCAGTGTAAGAGCCACTGCCAATTACTGTGGCAAGGCGTTCGATTATGCTCATGGTGTTCGCGAAAAGCGGTTAGCAGTGTTGCTGGTGTTAACTATTTTGCGCAGTAATCTTGACGGGTTTCCAAGTGACTTTCTGATCTTAGTTGGTAGCAACCGTTTTTGGGATGGATTGCCACACAAACGACCTCATTCACTGTTGTCAAGTCACCTCGTTTTATAAGATATAGAATGGTGATTATTTCAAGTTTCAGGGTCTCTGGGAACAAGCTTAGCCCCGCAGCTACCACGCTGGCTTCTCTAGAGGGAGAAATTTATCGTTTCTACCGCTTGGCCTTTTTATGCAGATGAAGAAAAACATCGATTACGACTGCACATTCTGTTGATGGCCAGACATGTGTTGGCTACTGACATTTGCATGAATTTTCTTTCAGCTTATCATAGTCTCCTGAGCCTGCACATACTACTTCCTGCACTCCTTAAAGGGTTAACTTGGTCACTTATGATGGTCATCCTATGACATTTTGGCAACATTCAAGGTGTCATGAGTCACTTGGAGGAAAATATGATATAGGAACGAGCGAAATGGGTCCACGCAACGAAATCCTCCAACTAAGCTAGCATGACGCTGGTAGACTCTTTGACCGTGTCCCCAAATCGAATCAGTGTCATGATTATCGCGAGGTATGTCAAGCTTTTCACTCGCCACCGAAAGATCACTGAAATGATAGTTAAACTACTTCTTTGGTAACTTTGTCTTAAGCTAAAGCCTTCATAGCGTAATTCCAATTTCCGAAAGCTTCAACCTAACTGACTGGCCAGCTTCCAATGAGAAATTTGGATATTTTTCAACTGTTACAACGGATGCTGACGGTCGTATAAGTTGACATAACGGTCTTCCCTAAAAGAGGTAGTGCTCACAGTACACTAACGCTTAAGATCTGTTACTCCGATGGCTAAAGATTATGCGTGTTCTGAGGTTTGCACTACGACTGCAGCTTCAGCTGTAGTTCAGCACACTGAAATGGTGAATCGTTCTACCACCACGTCTAGGCTGAAGATTTTGTCTCTTACAAATCCTGTAAAGCCGGGTGTACAGAGGAGTGCATGGGCGAAACGGGGGGAATAATCG